AACAGGCTGTTCGGCGAGCAGGGCTCGCTCTCGCAGCGCCTGACGAAGACGCTGCTGCCGGTCCTGCGGCGCATGCGAGAGGCGGGCGTGAAGCTGCTGGCGGACGATCTGCTGCCCTTCAGCGTGTACTGTTTCGACGGGGAGGCGTCGCGCAGAAAGGGCCACCGCCTCATAGACCACCACGCCACCGAGAGCAGCATGATGCTCTCGAGAGAGTGGTCCGCGGTGTTCCACGGCGTGAAGATTAGCCTCGACTGGGTCATCCACGCGATGCCCCTCGGTAAGCAGACGGGGGCCGCGTTCGCGTCCGTGCCCCTGTACGCCAAGAGCATGAAGGACAACCCTGGGCACGTGGCGGCCGTGACCGGCAGGACCGTGCCGGAAGCGGACGTGGAGAGGTCCTCTGCCCTCCGCGACCTCCAGAGGGCCGCCAGGGTGGAGCTGCAGGCCGCCCTGCAGGAGGTCCAGCAGCACCGCTTCGACATCCTGCCGGTCCTCGAGGCGACGTTGCCGCCCGCCCACATCGCCGAGTGGGGCCTGGAGGGGGCCGCGAAAGAGCAGGGGGGCATGTTCTTCGAGGCCCGCTTCCCGCCCGCGTGGTTCTTCGGCCAGATCATGCCGCCGCCCCTCGCGCAGCGCCCTAGGATCTCCCCCCCCAAGAAGGCATCTCCTTCTACGTGCATCCAGGGCTAGAGCCACGGCGCGGGTGCCCGTGCTCGTTCGCTCTGGGGGCATTTCCCGTCCCTCTGCGGTTCTGTCCGCAGCGTGCGTCTTGAAATTCGCAACGATCGTTTTCGCAAGCCGCATGCTTTGATGGGCCGATTTCCACCAACCCTACCATAGTTTGCACGGGGGGAGAAGGGAGGATAGGGGAGGTCCTCCTCCTCCTCCTCCTCTTCATTCTCCTCCTCCTCCTCCTCCTCCTCCTCCTCTTCAATCTCCTGCTCTTCCTCCTCCTCCTCTTCCTCCATCTCCCCCTCCTCCTCCCCCTCCTCCTCCTCCTCCTCCTCCTCTTCCTCCTCCTCCTCCTCCTCCTCCTCCTCCCCCTCCCTCCCTCCTCCCTCTCCTCCCCCTCCTCCTCCTCTCCTCCTCCTCCTCCTCCGCCTCCTCCTCCCCTCTCCTCATCCTCCTCCTCCTCCTCTCACTCCTCCTCCTGCCTCCTCCTCCTCCTCCTCCTCCCCCTCCTCTCCTCCTCCCTCCCGCCTCCTCCTTTCCTCCTCTCCTCTCCTCCTCCTCCTCCTACTCCTCCCTCTCCCGCATGCAGCCCCTGGGCTGAAACCCTTTTCCCCCTCCCCCCATCATGCTTGACAATTTTCCCCCGCCCTTGTTGGAGCGATATTTTGGCGGCAACCGCTGCCCTATCCTCCTCCGACGGCGGGCTTTCAGCACGGTCACGGAGAGTGCGGCCTCACAGCAGCCCGCGGCCAGCACACCGGCCGCTGGGGGTTGCGGCAGGCCACTTGTGACCACGAGTTGGTTGCGTCGGCTAATTACATCGGTGCATCGGTGCATCGAGTCCCCCCCCCTCCCCTTCCAGCCTCCCCTCCCCTGGCGGTGTTCGTCGTCGTCGCCCCCGTTCTCACAGTGCTTCCTGCAATGCAGGCGCTCCCCACTGATCGCGAGAGGTGCCAACCTAGATTAGACACGCTCCCGATTGCTACAGAGCTGAAAGCTACTTTTAACGAATTTGTCTCGCGCAGTGAGCAACTGCTTGAACTCTTCCTCATATCCCCCCTTCTTTTGACTCGCGCTACGTCAATGCTTCTCCTGTGGCATGACGGCATGGATGGCGTGCTCCAATTACTCGTTCTCCTTACCCTAATCATGGGTCGTCCTCGTCGGCGCCCTCGCTGTGTTCCTTGTGCTTCCCCAGCGCCGCTCGCTGTTCCCGTCCCTGAGGGTGTTTCAAGACCCAGGGGGGCTGGATCGCTGTCAGACGGCATCTGGACGCGAGCCAAGCCAGCAGCGCCTGAGTGTGTGGTCTTCCCTTTCCTCCCGCGCTCCCGATCGGACGGGAGCTGGAGGCGGGAGAAGTGGCTTTGGGATTATCAGAAAAATCCTGGAAGCCTCGCGCGGCGCGTAATAGTAGTATGATCTAGTCCATTTGTCAGTTCCGTAGGCTATGGGTCGACGCTCGCGCGGCGATGCTCTGGAGTCAGTCCGACGTAAATCCGACGTAGTCCGACGTGAACCCGACAGCAATCCGCCGTGGATCCGAGGCAGATCGGGTCTCGAGTTGCCGCGCGGGGCCTCCAGGAGCTTCTTCCTAACGCGATGCTGCTCAGCCGCTGTGTCTGGTGGTGGCCGAAAGCGGTGCGCGCGCCTGCCCCTCCCATCCCGCCGACCCACGACGTGCGCCCTGCCGAGTCGCAGCTGGAGGGCGGCTCTTAGGGGGCCACGTGCGAACCCTGCCCTTACCCTCCCCCTCAGAAATCGTGGCGGTCTTGGCATCGCTCGGACGTGTGCATTTTTCCTTCGGCGAGGACCATCGAGGAGTCCCCTTGATCCTTTCGCGAAAAAGCTACAAAACCGAACAAAAACGCAGGGCATGGACGTCCGAGCGATGGCCAGGGGTGGGGTTCGCGTGTGGCCCGCCAGCTCTTCTCCTGGCGAGGGTGGGCCCGGTGCAAACGGGGGGGCAGTCAGAGGCGTCAGAGGAGGACAGGTCGGAGGTCGACCAGACGTGAGAGTGACCTTTCGCCGGAGTGACCTCTGGTGCGGGCCGAAGGGGGCCCCCCGATCGCCGAACGCGATGCGGTGGTAGCGTCTTGCGCGCTCGTGTTCGGTCCCCCCGCGGCCCCAAAGAAGCCGCGCACCAAAGGCCACTCTTGTCCAGGGTCACTCTTGCGTGTAGCCGACGGAGGTTGGTAGACCTCCTACCCTGGCACGTCGATGAAGGAATCGGCGGTTTTCGGTTCGCGAGGGGGCGTCGCGGCAGTCATTTTTGCGGGTCTGGCTCCGTCGGTTTCGGTCCCATGCCGTTTTCACGACAGGGAGGTCTACTAAAGGGAGGTTTGTTCCATACAGCTGCGCAGTCCCCTTTTTCCCTTGTTTCGGGTCTCCTGGGAGGCCCTCGTCGCCGCCGCTGGATTCGTCTCAGAATCCTGGGCAGAACGTACCCTGGGAGAGGTCTGGGGAGAAGCGGTATTGGTGCCTCGAGGTTTCCCCAGGGTGTGGTCGGGGCTCCAGAGACGGGGGTCAACGCAAACAGGGGTCAGTCAGAGCCCCGGATCTTGCAGGATCCTGCAGGGCCAGGGGCGCATTGACACGGGTTTGGATCTTGCGGGATGTTGCAGGATCTTGCAGGATCTTGCAAGGCCTGACTGACCCGGGTCTGGATTGACCCTGGTCAGCAGGTCCCCGATGCGAGTCGAGCCCACGTGTCTTTAACCGTGTAATGCGTCAGAGGAGGACAGGTAGCGGTATTGCTACCCTTCCCTCGTTTCTGTTTTCTTGTTGGGGGGGCCTCAAGGGATACCTTCGTCGCAACGGCTGGATTCGCCTCGAAACTCTGGTCAGAACGCACCTACTTGTGAGAGGTGCGGGGGATAGAAGTATTGGTACCTTCTAGTTTCCCTACATGTGGTGCGAGGGCTTCAGGTAGCCTCAGTGGATCCGATCCACGATGGGGGGCAGCTTTGATGCGGTCTTGCATGGGTCGGGGTCTCTCCAACGCGATCGTAATGTCGTCCTGAGATGTGTTTCGCAGGCCTAGAGGTTGACACCAACACCAATTTCGGCGGTGTGCCTCCACCGAGGGAAGACGATCCCGATCTCGGTGATGGTGGTAATATTCTGGCTTCCAAGGTGGCCGAAATATTACCACCAACACCGAAATCTGGGATCATCTTCCCCCTTTGGAGGCACCCCCCTGTGTTGGTGTTGGTGCCCATTTCCAGGCCTCCAAGTGTTGGAGCGGTCCTCGGCCGTCCCGGGGCCACCTTCGGCGGTCCCGTGGTATGGCGTGAGCGTCTTGGAGTGGCCTATGGAGGGCCAGGCGCATGCTCACGTGCAGAGGGGACCTCCTCCTCCTCCTCCTCCTCCTCCTCCTCCTCCTCCTCCTCCTCCTCCTCCTCCTCCTCCTCTCTCCTCCTCCTCCTCCTCCCCCTCCTCCTCCTCCTCCTCCTCCTCCTCCTCCTCCTCCTCCTCTTCCTCCTCCACTCCTTTTTCTTATGAATAACTTCTCCCTGTCGCACCGGAACACCCTGCTTGCCTCCAGGGTGCCCCGCGGGTTCCTTGGGTGTCGGTGGAGTTGCTATGGAAAGCGTGACGTTCCCACACCAAAGATCGATGGACGTCCTGGGTTTCTCTTGTGGTCGGGCCCCTACGTTCGGGTGCACAGGGCCCGCCTCGAATAGGGAACATGCACTTGTCAAAAGGGGCCAGGCCGTTCCTCTGGTTTGCATGCGTTCCGTTACCTTTTTGGCGGCGAGCCCCCTGGTGCTCCTTCGGATTTCCTAGGTTTACTCGGAAAAGGAGGAGCTTCCTTCCTTCCTGATCGTTCCTTGGGTCAGGCCGAATACTGAACACACGCACAGGTCTGAAGAGGGTCTCTGCGCGGTGCGAGAGTGTGCGCGGTAGCGATTGCGACCGCGCGTCATGCGTTTGACGCGTTGCTTCACGCGTCGCCCGCTGCGCGCTGCGGCCTCGTGCGATCGACGTCGTCGTCGTGCGTTCTCCGCAGGTCCAGTCTCACCTTCCGCACCGTCGTGCCTGCGGGTTCCGGGGTGGGCCACTGGCGGCACCGAGCCGGGGGACACCGCGGGGCTCCGCCAGGGATCGTCCCCCGGGACTGGGGGGCACATCGGCCATCTCTTGTGCATCGGTTGCAGTCTGTGTATCGCTCCCCCTCTGCCACTCGTGATGCTGCCTGTCGCCGCCGCGGTCGTCACGTCGGGGCCGCGGCCGTGTGCGTGGCCGCCGCCCCCTGGCCTCGTGCAGAAATGTCAGAAAAAACGCCAAGGCGACCACTTCATCCGGCTCGGGCAGTTCGAGAAGGCCCGGCCCGGGGTGCGGGCGGCGCGGACGGCCCCGGAGCGCGAGGCGCCCAGGCACCCGGCCTTCCGGGACAGCAAGCGCGCCAGTGCCGCTGCGATCCCCTCCTCGCCAGGGCCGGACCCGCCCCGAAATGTTGGTCGCTTCGGTGGCAAGTCATGGGAGCGTGGTAGAACTCTCTTACTCCCGCATTTGGCGTCGAGTAGCGTCTGGGATTAGATGTGCTAATTTAGCGTCGGTGAACGTCGATTTGGCGTCGACTCGGCGTCGATTTAGCGTCGATGATTAGCGTCGACGAGCGTCGTGCAGCGTTGATGCGCAAGAGCCGACGAGATACTATGGGAGGCTCCCGTGAGTTGCCACCGCAGTCCGGGGAGCAGCGGTATCGGGATCCTCCGGGCCCACCAGAGGAGCCTGCGGCCCCCAGACCACCAACGTTGCGTTCGTTTTGTGGAAGCCGATCAATGGAGAGGAATCTTCTTGGCAAATAATTTTCAGATGTCTACACACATGTGTTAAACATGGCTTGACTAAGGCATGGCTTAAACATGTTCGTAAGTCTCTTCAAACATGTTGAACACATCTTCAACTCAATGATACGATCGTGAGCCACGGCGCTCCTCCTTTTTTTGGCATCCACAACGTTCGTTGGGACCGATGCCTAGGGGGGGACTGGGGCCAGTGGGAGGAGGAGGAGG